GTCCCCCCTCCAGCCCCACAGATACTTCCCAGTCCCCCGCCTTGCCAGCTGTCCCCCCTCCAGCCCCCCAGATACGTCTGTGACGAACTGGGTCTGTTCTTACTGTGGTCTGTGAATGCTGACAGGGGAGTGTGGCTGGGATGGTCGGCCTTGGGGGATGGGAGGCTGACTGAAAATACCTGAGCATGTAACATGAGAACCCAGGAAGGGGTCGGAGGCCAGGTGACACCTTTGCCCGGGAAACTGAACAAAGGCTGTGGGAGGGGTCGCTGAAGGCAGAGTTTGAGGAGCTGGCTAGTGACCTTGGCTGGGAGGGAGACAGGGCTCTGACCTCCCAGGGGGGCTAGGGTACCCGGGGACCCCAAGATGGACCTAACTGAGGGGGGTCCTGTTGTCTGTGCCTGCAAGACCTGTCTTGGACTGTGTTCCTGTCGTCTAAATAAACCTTCTGCTTTACTGGCTGGCTGAGAGTCATGGTGAATCGCAGGACGCCGGGGGTGAAGGGCCCTGAATCCCCTCATACTCCGTGACAACTGGTGGCAGCGGTGGGATCTACTGCACCCCGTGGACGGCGCTTCCTGCAGTAAGTGACTGGGGAGAAGTAAAACGAAGGGGGATTGACGGGGAGCAGGCGTGCTGAAGAGTCACAGAGAGACGGTTATCACCCCTGGGAGTGTGTGACCAGCGAGAAGGACTTTTGCAGTAACAGGGTCCCCCGGGGGATCGCAGCGAGTGGTCCCAGGGGCGGAGGAGTCTGCAGCTCGACCCTGGCAGAGAGGTGGTGACCTCGAGAAGGGCTGGCACACTAGGGGTCTCCCTGGAGACTGTGGGGAGCGGTGAGCACACAGGCCTGTGAGTGGCCAGCAGGAAGATGTATGCCAAGCGGCTTAAGAGGGACCTGGTGGAGCTGTGCAAGCAGAGGGGGCTGCGCATTGGGAAGCTCACCAAAGAACAGCTCATTGCCCAGCTGGAGAAGGGAGATCGCTCGAATGAACTGATCCCTGTCTCTGAGGGAAGCAGCCTGGCAGATGCAGCGCAGGCCCCAGTGTCTGTCCCAGCTGGGAGTGGTCAGCCGGCTGCCGAGGGCTTCCCGAGACCCCTCCTTCCTATGCCTAGGGGAAGGGTGGGGAGGAGCCCAGCAAATACCGAGGGCGCCGTGACCCCCCCGGCCAGCAGGGGATCCTCCCGGCCACGCTCACCGGCCAGCAGGGGATCCTCCCGGCCACGCTCGCCGGCCAGCAGGGGATCCTCCCGGCCACGTGCGGCATCCGTGGAGCGGAATGGGCTGGAATGGGAGAAAGAGCTAAAACTGAGAGAGCTGGAGGATCGTAAACAACAGAGACAGCATGAACGGGAGGAGAATGAGAGACAGCGTCAGCAGGAACTGGAACTGGCGAGGCTGAAGGGCCGCGAGACCCCGGCTGCGGTGAGTGAGGGGGGACCCAGGACTGCACGGAGCTTTGATAAGTGCATCCTGGCCCCACGTAAGGAGGGGGAGGACATGGATGACTTCCTGGATGCCTTTGAGACGGCCTGCGAGCTGCACCAGGTTGATCCTGCGGACAGACTCTGGGTTCTCACCCCCTTACTGGACCCCAAATCCGTGGCATTGTACCGCCAACTGGACGAGGCGGAGAAAGGGGACTATGAACTCTTCAAAAAGGCCCTGCTACGTGAGTTTGGGCTGACTTCTGAGATGTACCGGGAAAGGTTCCGGAGTCAGGATAAAACCCCTGAGATCTCATACCTGCAACTAGCCGTCCGCATGGAAGGATACGCCAGCAAGTGGGCTGATGGGGCCCAGACAAAGAAGGACCTGGTTAAACTGCTGGTACTGGAGCAACTGTATGAGCGGTGCCCATCCGACCTGAGGCTGTGGTTGGTGGACAAAAAGCCAGACATGCAGGCCGGCTGGCCGATGAGTTTGTAAAGAGCCAGTCAGGGGATAACAGGGAGGAGTCCCAAAGGAACAGTCCCACCACAACACAGAGAGAGAGTCACCATGGGACCTCCCAGCGGGAAAATACGGAAAACCCCCATCGAAGGGGAACATCCGGCATCAGGGCCATCCGACCCACTCGAGGGGCCCCATGGGACATGGGCTGCTATCACTGTGGCCAGAGGGGCCACATACGGGCCCAGTGCCCCAGGCTCAGGGACAGACTGAGCAGACCAAACCCACAGAGGGTTGACTGGGTAGAGACCCAACCAGGCGAGAGGCAGCACTCCCAGGGAAGGGGGGCTGGCAGAGTACCACCTGCTAAGGAGGGAGGAGAGCTCCAGGCCAGCTCCTCTGGGGGGTTGGATGCTCCAGACTCAGGGTTTTTGGTTTATACGGTGGGCGCGGGGCGGTCCCTCCGGAGAGAGTACCTTGTTCCCCTGGAGGTGGATGGGAGGAAGGTCAATGGATACTGGGATACGGGCGCAGAGGTGACGCTGGCCCGGCCCGAGGTGGTGCCCCCAGATCAGGTGGTGCCCAACACCTACCTGACCCTGATGGGGGTGGGTGGGACACCAGTCAAAGTGCCCGTGGTGAGGGTACACCTGAAGTGGGGGCCCAAGGAGGGCCCCAAGGACGTGGGGGTACACCCGTATTTGCCCACTGAGGTGTTGATGGGGGGGGACCTGGAGGACTGGCCAAGCAACCCCCAGAATGCACTGGTTGTGACCCGCAGTCAGAGCCGGCAAGGGGCACGGCGCCCTGGCCTTGGGGAGGGTGCCTTGCCCCAGGCGCAGGACCCTAACCTGGTGGGGAGGGAACGCCCAGGGACACGGCTCAGGGAGGCTGCGGCCTCAGACCCAGCCGGCGGGAGGGAGCAGGTGGCCATCCCTGTCCCAGCTGCTGAGTTCCAGGCCGAGTTGCAGAAAGATCCCTCCTTGCGGAAGATAAGGGACCTGGCCGACCTCGGTGCGGTACAGACCATGGGGAGAGGTGGCCGGAAAAGGTTCCTGTGGGAGAAGGGGTTCCTGTACCGAGAATGGGCTCCCCCAGGGAA